TCCCGCACCTCAACTCCCTGCCCTGATCCCCCCACCACATGCTGCACCCCTCACCCCTCCCGCACCTCAACTCCCTGCCCTGATCCCCCCACCACACCCTGCACCCCTCACCCCTCCTGCACCCCAACCCCCTGCCTGGAGCCCCCTGCCACACACTGCACCCCAACCCCCTGCTGCACTCCTCATCCCTCCTGCACCCCAACTCCCTGTCCTGAGCCCCCTGCCGCACCCTGCACACCTCCTGCACTCCCTTCCCTGAGCCCCCGCTGCACTCCTCACCCCTCCTGCACCCCACACCCCAATTCCCTGCCGTACCCTGCACACCTTCTGCACCTCAGCTCCCTACCCTGAGCCCCCTCCTGCACCCCCTGGGGTGAGGACTTTGGGGAAGAGGTTGGAATGGGGGCAGGGAAGGGGTGAGAAGAGGTGAGGTGGGGCGGGGGCGAGGCCTCATGGAAGGGGTGGAGTGGAGGCAGGGCCGGGGGCAACGAGGGGGGGGTGTCAGTGATGTGGCCCTCGGGCCAATGCACTAGTCCTCATGTGGCCCTTGAGGTCATCTGAGTTTGAGACCCCTGGTCTAAACTGACATAATTGCTCTCTCCAAATGTTTAAATCTGCATCCACACATGAAAGATGTGTTCCTTTAACTATGCTTGCATAGTATAAAGCATAAAAATGATTACACTGCTATAGCTTATTCCAGTTTGTGAGGCAAAATAAGCTATACATTTATAAAGTGCCTTACACTAGTATAACTGCATCCACACTACGGAGTTTGCTGGCATAACTATGTTGGAAAAACATCATACCTCTTACTGACATAGTTATGCTGCCAAACATTTTAAGTGTAGACTAGGTTACAACTCCCTTACTAGCTCACCCATGGGGCCCAATCCATGAGGTCTTCTCAGAGGTTGCCACAGAGCATGTCCACTGAAGGAGGTGGTGGTGTGTGTCCCCTCCCCCACCCCCCTAAATAACCATTAGCCCAGTAATTAAAGCACTCATCAAGACTGTAGGAAGCCCAGGTTCAATTTCCCCTCTATGTTTGATTTGGAGCAAGGAGTTGAATGCACATCTCTCACTGTCCAGTGAAGTGCACCAAACGCTGGGTTATGGGGGTGTTCTCCCTCTATCTTGTCTGTTGATGCTGCACCACTTTGTATAAATCATTAAACAGACATTGGACCACAGAAAATAGTGAGAAGGACTTTGCAGTTCAGATTTGAAGAAGAGCTCTGTGTAGTTTGAAAGCTTGTCTCTTTCACCTAAATAAATTGTTCCAATAAGAGAGATTAACCCACCCACCTTGTCTTTGTAGTTCAGTGGCTAGAGCACTTATGTAAGGTTGGAGGATCCCAGTTCAACTACATTCCTAACGACTTTAATTATTTATAAATATTGGAACAATTTCAGCAGGCGAAACTGAGAGCATCTAGGCAAGCATAGCCCAGTGATTAGGGCACGCACCTGAAAGGTGGGACATGGCGGTTTAACTCAGATGGGGAGAGGAGGAATTGAATCAGGCTTCCCATGTGCCAGGAGAGTGCTCTAACTCTGGACTAAAAGTGGTTGTTGTTATTTGGGGGGAGGGGGAAAGAGGGTGTGTCTCTCCCTTGGCTTTTTGTGAAAAAGGCCTTGGGGCCTAACTCCAGGAGTGGGGTTCAAAGGCGTGAATCCCAATGACACTAAATGAAGCATGGAAGCATGGCAGATGTGACATCCATATGCTCAATGGCTGCTTCAAGTCCTATGGTGAACTTGTGGAAGAGCATTTGACATTTCTCCTGTAGGCTAGGGACACCTCTGTGAGTAAGAAAGAAAAATGTAGGAGTTCAGATCTTGACTTTTCTAACTGCTGTTTAAAATTTCCATATACTATCTTTGTAATTGGCATGGGGAGGGCTAGATTCACAAAGGACTTAGTCACCTAACTACAGCAGTGGTGGATTAGCCACTGGGTCAATGAGGCCCCGTGCCCAGGGGCCCTGGCCAACTGGGTCAGACCCAGAAAAAAATCTGCTGCCAGGTGGTGGAAGCCCAGAGCCTGGCTGCTGGATGGGCAGGAAGGGCAGGGTGGGGTGGAGGAAGCCCTCGTGCCCCGACACCTCTCCCCAGCAGAAGCGCTGGGTGGGCGGAGTGGGGGAAGTCCCCAGTGCCCTGTCCCCGGCAGAAGCCACAGGGCAGCAGGGGAAGTTCCAGCACCCGGATCCCCCGCTGCAGCCGTGGGACTGGAGGAGTCTCGCTACCTGCTGCGGCCTCAGGGTCGGGGAACTCTCACTACCTGCTATGGCTCGGGGCCATGGCGGGGGGACAGAGCTTCTCTGGTCTTGGGGCCACAGTGTGGGGGGGCGGAAGGGAGGAGACCATGTGTGGAACAGGGGCATGGCCCCGGGAAGGGGCAGAAAGGGATGGGGCTGTAGGCGGGGCCACAGATGGAAGAGACAGAATGAGGGCGGGACCACAAGCTGAAGAGGTAGGGAGCCCCCCCCCCCACTTGCTCTGACCCAGGGCCCCAGGAAACCTTAAGCCACCTATAGGCACCTAAGTCCAACATTTAGGCACCACTGACATTCACAAAACCACCACAGCTCAGATGCAGGTTACTGTGTTGTTTTTGAAGATATAAAAAAGTAAAAAAAAAAGTGAAATTGAACACCCTCCGCCCCCATAAAAATAACTTTCATATCTGCCAGAATCATGCAGTAGGCTGTTCTCTAGTCAGGACCTCCTGAATACTATCCCATAAGGCCCAGTATATGGAATGTCAAATAAAGAATAAAGTCCATTGGTTGGAAATTTATCCTTATCTTGTATTACCAATTGTAACTACTGTGTGCTGGTTAACATTGTAATTTATGAATAGCACTATGTGATAATGTTGCATTTGTATGTTATTGTTTTCCAGATGGGAGTTGGTGTTGTGGACTCTGCTGTTGCTGGATTAGGTGGCTGTCCATATGCGAAAGGTGCTACTGGAAACGTAGCCACGGAGGATGTGCTATACATGCTTAATGGGTTAGGGATAAATACGGTAAACTATTGCACATTTATGTTAGCATAGCTACATTTCTAAATACTGTCAGTCACAGTATGTTTGAATACCATAATAGTGTTGCTGTCAGGGAGCTATTTGTTGATCATTTCCGAAGATTATATTTGATTACAATACACTGAGATTTGTAGCTGAAAAGCCCTTGAATATGACGTGCAATAGACTGGTGAGAGAGAAACTGCTGAACAGGCAGGCTTAACCGCTCAGGAGGCTGATCCAACCTTGACTGATAGCAATTGGAGTCTTTCTACTGACTTTACTGAGCTATGGATCAGGCCCATCGTGATTATGGGACTAGGGAGTAGTTTCCTTCATCTGGCTTCAGATGTGAAAAATACAGTTGTGTTTGACACAATATTTGGGACTGACCTGTCAAACATTTACCACCTGGACTAATTCAATATCCCTTCAAGCCACTGTAAAACTATCACATTATTGTTCACAAAGGTGAGTTATGTGACGGTGAGATTAACTTGCTCCCCAGCTGAAGACCCAGTATGTTGTGTGTGACACTGAGTTTCTACTAACTGGAGCAATAGGACACACAATTTGACTTTGGAACACAGATGTAAATGGTAGCATAAAAAACACAGTCACTGTGGTTTCAGATCTAGTATGGTACACAACCTGTCCTAACTGCCTCCGTCTGTGGTTCAAGGCTGTCTCTTTTATTTCTGTCTATATGCAGGAAAAACAGTTACAAAGTTTTCTTTGAGACCCCGGCTTTATATGCCTATCCATGCCTTTGTCACCTCCAGATTAAACTACATGGTGCGCCTTGCATAGGGCCATGTCTTGGGACCATTCAGAAATTGAAGTCAGGGAAGAATGCAGCTTTCTGTTTATTAAGTTGTGGTGCACACACAGGGCTGGCTCTACTGTTTTTGCCGCCCCAAGCAGTGCGCCGAATTGCCGCTGCGGACGGCGGGGGCAGTCTGTGTGCCGTTAGGGTGGCACGTGCGTTTCCACGATGGCAATTCGGCGGCAATTCGGCGGCAGCTTCTATGTTCAGCCAGAAGACAGAAGCCGCCGAATTGCCGCCGCGGGCAGCTGAACATAGAAGCTGCCGCCGAATTGCCGCCGCCGCGGAAATGCGCATGCCACCCTAACGGCACACGACAGTCCCCGCCATTCATGGTGGCAATTCAGCGCGCTGCTTGGGACGGCAAAAACACATGGACTGCTGCCCCCTTGCAGATTGCCGCCCCAAGCACCTGCTTGGAATGCTCGTGCCTGGAGCTGGCCCTGTGCATACAAAAAGCACATTACACCTGTCCTTAATGAACTGCAGTGCCTCTCAGTTGGTTTCCAGAAGAAGTTGAAGGTGCTGATTTTTATCTATAAAGCCCTAAATGATTTGGGATTTTACAACCTGCCTTCCATTTGTAATCTGTGGAGATGCTCACACTAAGAATACCCTGGTTTAAAAGAGGGGGTGGTGGTTAGTCTTTGGGGCAGTTTTGCACTACAGATGTGTCTTGACTAATGTTCTAAAACATCAAAGTCCTTGGCTTCATTTCTACACTTCTTGGGCAAAATGCCCATTGACTTCAGATTTTGCCCATATAATATTTTACTATAGCTCTGCCAGGGGAATTATTCAAGCAAAAATATTCAGCAAAGCCCATGACCGTATGAAATTGGTCACAAACCTTTTGAGCAAATGTATCAGTAAGTAAGTCTGAGTCATCTTAAGGGAGTTTAACTGGCACCATCTTTGTATTTGGCCCAAAATATTTACATGGAATCCTGTGAAGCAAAATTTCCAAGTTTCTCAAACATCCCTCTAAGCCTTTTCCATATTGCAACCCCTGCTGCAACAGAAAAAAGTCCATTGCCCTTCCACCTTAGCCGTAAAGAAAGAGAGGACGGTTATAGGCCCAGGTTGAAAAACCATTGCTCGGATAGGCTCTCATCTTAATGTGTAAAGATTCTAGTCCCCACCGAGTACATATTTGCATTTGTTTCACAGTACCCTATTCTGTGGTGTGGGCTCATCACCCTAATAGTCTGCTAATATTTCACTATTTTTATGACAGCACATATTGACATTATGTATAACCAAATGTTTCTCTGTGCAAAGAAATGCTCTGTTTTCATTTCAGCTGTGTCCTCATGCTCTCATTTTGTTGACTAAAATGTGAGCCAATGGATGAATGGCTATTTGAGGCTTCATTAGTGCTCTCTCATTGGCCATGTGCATCAGAATAATAATTAATGCTTGTTTTATAGTGTTCTCCAGAACGATTAAACAACATGATAATATGAAGTGAATCTGTAAGAGTTTGTCCACAAACACGTTGCTTGGTAGTACAATGATAAATGGGCAGTTCAATGTCACACGTGATTAATGGTCACAAAGGTTTCCAGCGAGACACGCACCTTATGCAAAGAAACAGTTTTTATATGGTTCAGATATAATTATAATAATAGTACCTGCTCTTATGATGCCTTCCCCATGCTTAACAACCAGTAAGCCTTAAAAAACTTCTGAGAAGAGGTAAGTACCATTATTGCCATTTTATAGATGATGAAGCTGAAACTCAGAGAGATTATAGTCCTGGTCCTAACAAGTGCTGAATAAGAACTGATTTACTGGAGTCAATGGGAGTTGTAGGAGTTTGGCATCTGGGCGGAGATGTTTCGCTTCTTGAAGGATCAGGCTCTATGTCACTGCCCAAAGTCAGACCGAAAGATCAGGGAAAAGCAGCAGACTGGCTGGTACTTCATCCCTCTCAAGGTATACAGTCATCTAGTTTAGGCATATGGCTGGTCCCACAATCCTCCTGCACACATGGCGTGGTCAGCAAGCATACATATATGAATTCTTCTATATCTGCCCTGAGCTATATTGTCCTAGCTCAGAGATCTGACATGCATCTATCCCTGCCCTTTCTCTCCTCTCTGACCCTCACACTCCTTTATGTGACTCATGAGAGTAAGGTCAGAGTTTTGCCCTCTGTGTGTAAACCATCTCTTATGAAGTATTATTGTTCATGAATGTCTTACAATATAAATGTAAAACAGAAAAGAGACCATTTGAACAGCACAGGCACTAGCCTAGACACCCCATGCAAAATGTGCATGTTGTTTTATTTAACACATCTAAGCATGTGTTTCTTGTCAACACCTACTGTACTATTAAATATTCATTACAATGTTGTGAATTTGGTATGTTGTTGGTCTCCACAGAAACCTGCCTACCAAGTCTATCTATGATGACATGTTTCTTATTTCTATCACATATAACAAAGACAGATGGTGCAAGGCTGATTGAAACTTTATTCCAGTTAAAAATGGCTTTTTGATTAAATGGAAATTTCTATGAGAAAATTTCCATTTTTGTTGAAAATTTTCACTCATCGAATTGACTATTTAAGGCAAAGGTTAATGCAAAGCATGCAAGTAAATAGGCTAAAACGGGGTGTGCATGGTTTAAGGGACTGGTAATGAGGCAGGAAACATTTTACTTCTAGGTCAGTGATTTTATTCTACCCTAACTGAATAGTAACCAAAATCACCAATGTTTTATGGGCTCTTTCTTTTTGTTTGGTTTGGGGTATTTTTGTTTGTTTGTTGGGTTTTGTTTTTTTTTAGCCTATGTAAAATGAGTTGCTTATACAAGAAAGAATGTGTCTTAGCAAGGAGAGATTAGTCAGTTGTGATTCTCCATACAATTGTAATAGTAATATAAATGGTAATTTTCTATAGAAGAGAGAATCTCCAGGGAAGAGCTGACAGTTATTATATATGTATTGGAATGTATATGTTATGTTATGGAATCCCACTTTCTGTAACTCCATGCCATTTTCCAAATCTGTCAGTGGGATACTTTTCTTACAAATTTGATCCTTCAAAGAGTACTATGAGAGGTAAACAAAGACATGTTTATATGAATTATTCAGCAATTTCATTTTGAGATGTATTACTAGAATCCCTCGCTAATCCCCATTTTTTTTCGCATGGGGAATTTTTTGCAAAGGAGAATCTTTTAAAATGGGAAAAATAATTTGTGTGACTATTGTAGTAAGCATTATGAGGCAGAGCGTCACCTAGTGTAAGTTGGCATAGCTCTACTGACCTCAGTTTACGCCAACTAAAGATCTAACCTTTTTTCTTCAAAATAAAAGAATGGATTGCAATGAAGAACGAAGTGGGTTTCTTCTAGAAATTACAGCCCTGGAGAGCAGTTCACCAGTGACATAAGCATTATCAATGTACATATTTTAATACTATAAATTAAATTAACTTATTTTCTCCCCCCATGTTTTAGGGAGTGAATCTTTACAAGGTGATGGAAGCTGGTAACTTCATCTGCACGGCTTTGAACAAGAAAACAAATTCTAAAGTTGCACAAGCTTCCTTCAATGTTTGAACTGTATATTAAAATGTTCTTTCTGCAATACACATTGTCAAAGAGCATTTACATAAAGAAAATCAATTGCAAAACCTTTTCAGTCAAGAAAAAAAGAAAGCATGCTATAGCTGTTCTTTATGGAAAGAGTAACTGTGTGTTAGAGTACTACATCTTGCCAAATGTTATTTTGGGGAAAGAATACAGCATTGCAAATAATAAATATAATGTCTATCAATACAAATTCATGTACTCGATACTTTTAAAAGTAAGCAAATCAGCAACTTACTGTCTATTTAAATGGCCTTTTAGCTTGCTTTAGAAAAAATTAATTACAGAGTTCCACAAAAAGTGAATACATTGGTAATTCTTAATCAAGCTGACTTTTAGTACAGTACAAATATTTGAAGTAGTTTATGAGATCCCACATTGTGTGTGGCCTGGCTATTATGTGTTTTATTTCTCTGAATCTCCACTTTTCATTTGCCAAGTCAATTATGTTATGAACGTGGAGCCCAATCTAAATTTACTGTAAGTAGTTTCTAGCAATAGCACTTTTGTATTTTTACAATGGTTAACATCTGTTAAATATATGAATGATTTTATCTTGTTCCAAGAGTTTGTGATGAATAGCAGCTTGCCATATCCTGCAAATCTAGTGCAACCTCTCTTATTTGTTACATACATTAAATTCACTGTAGTTGCCTTTTTCATCAGCTGTTTTAAAAAGCTGATTAATTATATCAAACAATGAAAAGAAGACAGGATATACTCTTTAGTGTAGCACACTGGGGGTAATTAGATTTTTGTGTAAAAGCCTCATGCACCAGTTGACATTTTATTTTATGATCCCCAGATTATCATTCTCACTCATTATCACAGAATCTGTCTTTCTGGGGATGTTGACACCTATGACTGACTAGTTTACACAGAGTGAGCCATCCACAGCCTCCCTCTAAGCTTTTGTGAATTTACTGTACCTGTAAATGTCTGAGTGCAACAAAATGCCAGTAAACTGCACCATCATCAGTAAATCAGCAATGGACAATTTAAAATAACCGCCTCATTGTTTTTGTAACCTGTTCAAATCATCCATGAAACTACTGTAATCTTCTTGCCTGAAACTTCAGTTCTTTTACTGTGTCTGTCTACACAGCCTTCTTCAGTATCTGTATCTTCATTATGTATCTGCTCTTGATCTGAATTTTGTTAGAAAGCAAGCTCTTAACACAAAACCCAATAACCTGGGCTATGATTTTTTCCCCATTGATATATACTTAGCTCTTCTCAGAAACATGAAAATTTGGAGAAGGATGAGATTTTAAAAAAGTGAAAGATTTACATGAAAAGAAAGAAGAAGGTAGGCTCACAGTTGTGTGCAGCCCAACTCTGTCAGACTACAGCACCCTTACTTGTGCCATTATCGCATGTTCTGGGGTTGTGCCATGGTCCGAACCAACTTGATTATGAGACATCCAGGTTGTCGGCTGATGTCACATATGGTTGGAGTTTGGTGGCTACTACTCTCCAAATTATTTTGCCCAGGAATGTGGGGGTTGGAGACAGGGTAGTCATTGGAGAGGTCTTCTTTGGAGAGGTCTTTCTGGCAAGTGTTGGCTTGCTGAGGACTGGTGAACTATTACTTTTTTCCAGGAGTTTGGTAGCTGTGCTTCTCTGAAGCAGGCATAGATTATTTCCATTAGTAGTTCACATAGTTCTTCTTCACTGTCTTTTACCAGCCTGGAGTCTCCTGGATCCATTTCACAGACTGTGGCTTTAATATTTTTCAGGGCTACCCTGCTTTGCATCAGATACAGTTCAGTCTTTACAGGTGGCTGGAAATTGGCCTTGAGTTGGCACATTTATATGTTAGTTTAAAATCTAACCAGACATCATTGAAAATAAGATTCAGGAAGGACCTGTAATACGAGTGCTCGATCCAAGGGTTGCAAAACCAACAACACCCCCCCATCCCACCCCCAACACATGGGCTCATGAACAGGGCTGGGGGTGGTTGTGATCATCTTTCCTTACTTTATTGCTAGATGGGAGAGGTTGATAACATTTGCTCACCATTGTAATATGGGATCATGGAATGCAGCTTGAGAATCACTGAGGTAGAATTACTACTATTTTGCTCCATGCTATAGAAATGAACCACTTCTACGGCAAAGGGATAGTTTATGTAAGATACGACTGTTTTCTCAGAGGGTTATTTTAAGGGGAGGGAGTGTGGCCTAGTGATCAGATCTGTGGTCTGGGAGCTAGGATTCTGTTCCCAGCTGGCTCACTGTGTGACTTATCAGGTTGCTCACCTAGTGCTGTGAGGTTTTCATTAATTATTTTTTGTAAAGCCAGTTGGAATGTTCAGAGCACAGAATTTAAAAAAGTATCCAATCTGAGAACTGTCCCAGCAACATTTCCCAGGCTTGGCTTGTTAATTATTTTTATTTACGCATTTATTTATACTATATTTACTAAATGGAAACATTTTTTCTTCAAATCTCCCATTTCCTGTTTCAGTTAGCATCTGCCATCATGATCCTAATGTCCTAGCAGGAGGGCATGATTAAAACCAATGTTAATGTAGCCCTTTGGGTCATCCTCCAGAGACACGGTATATTTGCTGAAGAACTGTCACCAGCATGGTTGTACTGGTTAAATGCACCTATTATTTTGCAGTGCATGGCATTAATCTTAAAGGTGAAATAAAACATATCTAAATGTTTGTTGAAACAGATATCCTGATGTATTATGACATGCTAGAGTTCAGCAACTCCAGTTAACTAAGTCACACGTAAGGCGTTAGTAAATATCAGCTGTCACTCCATCACACACTCTAATGTTTATGCCGGTAAGGTGTAATCCATTCTGAGTGCATTTGCTTGTGATTACCTTTATTATCAGTTGTTCCAATCTGCTTTAATGGAAAATGATACGCAACTGATGAATCTCTTCTACGTTACCATAGAAACATATTTCTTCCCTCCATTAACTAAGCATTAACTATGAGATCTTTGATAACTCAGAATATTCCTCTGTAAAGAAATATTCAAGTTATGGTAATCAAAGTTGATTCAGAGTACCACTCTCAGATCATTTAAATTTTCTTTTCAATTTTTATTTTTGAGCTTCTCTCTATATCACAAATGCAGAGCAAACATTTTCATTCCTGTTTTTATATTAGCTAAAATCACCCAAATTACCATCTGAGCCTGTACCAAGTGTCATCAATGGTAAAACAATTGTACATTGCAGTGGGTGTCTGAACACATCCTAATACTTTATACTATACACTGAGGTGGAAAATACGTTCTGGATCACACGTGTGACCTTCTTACTGTATTTTTTTTTGCAATTACTCCAAAATTGCATGCTCCAAAAACTGCATGATGAACAGCTGCACATAAGGATAGTAAGGTGCAGACACTCCATGCCCCATACACATAGAATGCCTTTCCTGAGCCGATCTGCAAAAGTCACTATCAACTTCTCTTTCAAATCCTTCCTGGAGACCCACTTTTGCTGTAATGTCTAAAAGACAGTAGCCAGCTAATTACCATTAGATAAAAGAGCAGTTGGTGACAGATTACATATACCACATATTATAACATTTTAAAATATGTACAACTATGTACAAAACCAAATCTAACAATATGTTTATATTAGCCATCACTCTGACCGCTGTGCTCATGTGTTACATCCCTGTCCCTCACTCTTCATCTGTTTTTCACACTGTAAGCTCATTGGGGCAGGGAGTGTGGTTTCCTGTATGACTGTAAAACACCTACCACATGTTATAGTATGCTATAGTACAGAAAATAAAAATGTACCAGTACATAATAAATTGCAAAGGTACTTCAGGTGTCTAAGGGACTTTAATACCTTTAAAACTGAAATTGCTGCTGGCTGGGATTCTCAGTTGATTATCTATTACTAATGTATTTAATATAATAGATATTTAATATATTTAAACTAGAAGAAGTGGCATTAGGAATCAGTAGCATGGTAAATGCCTAATCAGTGTATTCTCCTGTTGATGCATTCATAATTCCCAATAAAATGAATAATTATTTATGTTTTGCATACGTCTTTATTGTAGAAGACAATAGAAAAGTGCACATTTTAATGGCACTTGAAATAGGAATCATTAAAATCTCCAAGAAGCAAGTTAGCAAGGAACCCATTTTCAGGAAATCATCAGGGCCAGATGGTTTTCACCTAAGGGGTTCTTAGGAAAATAATATATGAAAAGCACAGGAAATAATTCTAAAGAAAACAAAGGACAAGAATTATACAATGTAGTGAAATGCACCTCAGTCCATAGGGCTTGAACAGGGCCCTGTAGAACATGTAAAACCCATGATGGAAAGGATAAATTTTTCATATCAGATGGGCCTAAGTGGTATGTAGGGCCCCCAGCCTTGAAGACTGGAAAATCTCTAAAACGGTCTATATCTTTAGAAGGCAACTAAAAGAGATCACAGGACTGTCAAAACAGACTGTATCTTGCCACCTTTGCATTCAACAGGAAGGTTTCCACTGACTTCGGTGAAAGACAGAGGAAGCCCTAGAGTCCTGGAAACTAATTAAGGAGAGAATAGTAGACTACTTGGATAAATAAGCTCTGCCATGGCCAAACAAATATGGTGGCCTGGATCCCCAGTTGGTGTAAATGGTCATCATTCCATTTAATTCAACAAAGCTGTGACAGCTTACAACAACGATCTCCCTTCACTTCTCTAATGGAAAATCATGCTTCTCTCACCTGTTCTTTGAAAGTGTTACTAAAACAAAATTTTAACATAGGTGACCCAAT